CTCAAAAAAAATCGGCAAGAATTGGACAATTTTCGCCCAATTCCTGAATATGCTTACAATTCCACCTGTTTGGCCATCATCAAGATCCGTTCCTACAAGGATAGTAATCAAGTCACTCATTTTTTGAAGGGATTGAATGATTAATACTCAATTATTGGATCTTAGATTATACTGATGGGTCCTATACGAAGCTTATGCAAGGTTTATTCCTTACTTGTTCAACAAAAAAGACATAATAACATCCCTCTCGATGAGTAAAAAATATTAGCTATTCTTGGCTCCATTCAGCATAATAACCCTCGTGATTCTCAATACAAGTCCAATACCAACTCTCGAGGTTGAGGCAGCACGAGAGGTGGAAAGCCTAGTGGCAGAGTGTATTTGCACTCACTGTGGAATGACCAACCACACAGTTGATGCATGCTTTAAAAAGCATAGCCGCCCTCCTCACTGGAAGTAGGATGACATGATCAACCAATATGCTAATGTGACCGACAAGTCATAATTTTAGAGTTATGCTTCAGCAAGTTTATTTTTTGATGATTACAAACATCATGATTGAGGCAAAAGACATTATCAAAAATAAGAAGAAAAAGTATCTACTAAAAATTGCCTTTTGGCTTGCATGCTAAGTTACTCCTAAAAGAAGACTATGGTATTTGATCTTCATTATGGTACAAGACTCAAATTCAATATAGTATGTTACTATAGTTCTCAAAATATGTCTAACATTATCCATACATGTTTTTATAGATTTTAATATCACTAGCATTGCATTTCCAAGTCATTAAAAAGGTTATTTCACTTTTTCATACAGTGGTAACCGGTTACAGGTTTCTGGTAACCGATTACAGGCTTCAGCATTTCAAATATTTTAATGTTACCTGCACTGGGTAACCGGTTACTGCATTCTGGTAACCGGTTACTGCTGAAACAAATTTGAAAAATAAGATTATTTTGAATGTTGTTTGTTTGTTACATTTGTCCATGAGCCATTGCACTTCTACATTCATTTAGAACCTTTTGAAAGGGTGCAATACATGTATATAATTCAAATGTTTCTGAAGTAGAAACACACACACAAAATAACAACAATCACAACATACAATTCAACATTTTGTTTCTCATTTTCAAACAAGTGCATTGATTAATATTTTAATCTTGCATGAAACTTTTACTCTTACATTTTCAAATACATCATTATAAAAGTTTCATCATATGTATTGAGCACTTTTGTAATATATCCATTGAATTCTTGTCTTGAAAAATAAGAGATCAATACTTGGTATTGACATTGATTATAAACTTTCATATCTACTTCAAGAATTTGTTTCTAATCATTTTTTTAAAGTGATTGTGGTGTAACCTTGTTATCAAGGATTGTTGGAAGCAAGAGAGTATTAAGGGATGGTTGTTCTCTTTTATTGTATTGGTTACCTTGTTTTCAGGATTGTTATAACCAAGTGTGTGCATTGAAAAGGATTATTATTCTTGCACTTAATGTTTAGATCTTAAAGTTTTTAAGAGCCTTTGATATCCTTATATATTAGATAGTAATGCATCACCTTTGTTGTGATTAGGCTTGTACAATCATTCTAAACTATAAAGAAATCTCTTCCGTGTTGGAAAGGGGACTGGAGTACTCTCGTATTGTAAGGGGAACCAGGATATATTCGGTGTTATTTATTTTTCCTCATTTACCGCTTTCATATTCATACACAAACCAGAAAAATAAGAACATCATCGCATAAAAGAATAAAAATATGTAATCCATTTTATTCATCCCCATCTTAGGCGCACTCAAAAACCAACATTTCGCATCAGAGCACTAAGGTAACTTGTTCCTATTCAATCCAGAATGGATTTCGCACAACCAACTTTCAAAGATTATGGTAGTAATAACAAGCCTCCATTATTTTGTGGTGAACACTTTGACTTTTGGAAAATTCGCATAAAGGCTCATTTAGAAGCACAAGGGGAAGAAATATGGGATGCTGTCTAAAATGGCCTGTTTACTCCGACATGTGTTGTCAATGGTGTTGGAACGTCAAAGCCTAAAACATCATGGGGGTGACGATGATAAGAAAAGGGTCATTTATGATAAGAAAGCAATCAATCTTCTTCAAGGTGAACTTTGCATGGATTAATTATTCCGTGTTTCGGCATGAACAATGCCAAAGCAAATTTGGGATACTTTGGTTGAAACTCATGAAGGAACCGTTGAAGTTAAGAGGTCAAGATTGAATACTTTAAGCCAAGAGTATGAACTTTTTAGAATGCATCCCCGAGAGACAATTCTCTACTTGTAGAAGAGATTCGTTCATCTGAAGAACCATTTGATGGCACTCGGTAAGACTTTTACTAATGATGAATTAAATCTTAAAGTGCTTAGATCATTGTCCAGGGAATGAAAACCAAAAGTGACGGCTATATCGAAAAAGAAAAGAATTCCAAAAATGACATCCGCGGAATTGTTCGGCAAACTTCAAGAACATGAAATCAAACTCGAAAATCTAGAACAACATAAGATTCAAGATGAGGATTCTGAAGGCGTTGCATTGAAAGTTAACTCAAGGGAAGAACTTGACGAATATGATTTAGAGGAATTCATGCATCTTGTAAAAAGGATCGGTAAGTTTTTCTCCAATAACGATAAATCTTTCAACTTTGCAAAAAACGAGAAACTTTTCAGAAAGAAAGAAGGCTCTTCGGTCACTACACAATATCAAATGCTATGAATATGGAAAAGGGAGACACACAAAGATGAAGTGCCCAAATCTGCCAAGAAAAATGCTTACAAGGGAAGAAAATTCTCAAAATCCAAAAAGGATTACATTGAAGAAAGTAATGCAAGTTCTTCATCCGATTCGGAAAGCGGCAAATATGAAAATCTTGCGTTTATGGAATTACAACATTCCGATGGTGAGAAGGAAGAAAAGGTTACTAATTTTTATCCTAATAAAAGAGTTGCTAAAAAGAAAACTTATGTTACAAGCAACTTTCTTCCCACTTGTTTATATTGGGTATTATTGGTCACACACATAATGCTTGTCATGCAAGAAATTTTAATATTACTAGTGAGAATTATGTGTGGGTCAAGAAAGGAAATAACCATGAAGGAACCAAATCACTTTGGGTACCTAGCAAAACTTAACTTTTTTTGTAGGTTTGCTTGAAGACCACTTCAAAATCTTTGATATCTTAATAAGTGGTTGATCCAAGCATATGATGAGAGGTATAATAATTTTTTTTAAATATAATAGGCCAAGGGATGTGTCACATATGAGGACAACATCAAATGAAAAATTCTTGGCAAGGAAAAGATAAGCAATAACTTTCATATCCAATGAAGAAGTACTTCATAATGAAGGATTAAGACAAAATCTTGTAAGGGATAAGTCAACTAATATCATGCTATTCTTCTATTTTGATTATGATATTATTTTGTTTCTTTTTCCCTTCCTTTTTGCTAATGACAAAGGGAGAGAAGATATATGTGTATGCTTTGTCTCTATCTCTTGTAGAAATTGTCAACATACTCTATTGATCAAGGAGACGCACTGATCAAGGGGGAGTTATCATTGATAGGGGGAGCATATTTCTTTTTCAAGCGATCCAAAGTGTTTCACATAATAAGTGTTTGTCATCATCAAAAAGAGGGAGAATGTCGAGTCATGCTTCAGCAAGTTTATGTTTTGATGATTATAAACATCACGATCAAGGAAAAAGGTATTATAAAAAAGAAGAAGAAAAAGTATCTACTCAAAATAGACTTTTGACTTGCATGCTAAGTTACTCCTAAAATAAGACTTTGGTATTTGATCTTCATTATGGTACAAGACTCCAATTCAATATAGTATGTTACTATAGTGCTCAAAATATGTCTAACATTATCCATACATGTTTTATGGATTTTAATATCACTAGCATTGCATTTCCAAGTCATTAAAAAGGTTATTTCACTTTTTCATACACTGGTAACCGGTTACAGGTTTCTGATAACCGATTACAGGTTTCAGCATTTCAAATATTTTAACGTTACCTGCACTGGGTAACCGGGCATTCTGGTAACCGGTTACCGCTGAAACAAATTTGAAAAATAATATTGTTTTTAGTGTTGTTTGTTTGTTTCATTTGTCCATGAACCATTGCACTTCTATATTCATTTAGAACCTTTTTAAAGGGTGCAATACATGTATATAATTCAAATGTTTCTGAAGTAGAAACACACGCACAAAATAACAACAATCACAACATGCAATTCAACATTTTCTTTCTCATTTTCAAACAAGTGAATTGATTAATATTTTGATCTTGCATGAAACTTTTACTGTTACATTTTCAAATACATCATTAGAAAATTTTCAACATATGCATTGAGCACTTGTGTAATATATTCATTGATTGTTGTCTTGAAAAGAAAAGATCAATACTTGGTATTGATATTGATTATAAACTTTCATATCTACTTCAAGAATTTGTTTCTAATCATTTTTTTAAAGTGATTGTGATGTAACCTTGTTGTCCAGGATTGTTGGAAGCAAGAGAGTATTAAGGGATGATTGTTCTCTTTTTACTTTGTATTGGTTACCTTGTTTTCAGGAGTGTTGGAAACAAGTGTGTGCATTGAAGAGGATTGTTCTACTTGCACTTAATGTTTATATCTTAAAGGTTTTAAGAGCCTTTGATCTCCCTATAGATTATATAGTAAGGCATCAGCTTTGTTGTGATTAGGCTTGTAGAATCATTCTAAATTATAGTGAAATTTCTTCCGTGTTGGCAAGGGGACTAAAGTACTCTCGGACTGTAAGGGGAACCAAGATATATCCTATGTTATTTACTTTTCCGAATTTACCGCTTTCATATTCATACACAAACAAAAAAAATAAGAAAATCATCGCATAAAAGAATAAAAATTTGCAATCCACTTCATTCAGCCCCCGTCTTAAGCGCACTAAAAAACCAACAAGAAGAACAATCAGGTGTGTCTTCTGAGGTAAATGCACAGGTATCTCACGGATTAGCTTTTACTCCTGAGCATTACTACAAGATGCATCACAGTTTCAGTCTCATAACATTAACCACTTAACCTCTCAAAATGACCTCAGTTCAGGTATTGTTTGCACAATCCCTACTTCATTTCATCCTGAAACTTTCATCTTAGATACAGGTGCCACAGACCGTGTCTGTTTCACTAAGACTTATTTCCAATGCATCAACAGAATTCAACCCATAACCATCAAGCTACATAATGGTAGTCTTATCACCACTCAATTTTCAGGAACAATCAAATTTAACAATTCATTTTACATTATTGATGTCCTTTATATGACTGACTTCACATTTAATCTCATTTATGTTCCCAAATTAACCGAAACCCTTAATTATCAACTTGTGTTTAATGATGGTGATTGTGTTATACAGGATCTTTCATCCCAGAAGATGATTGGCACAACTGAATTACATGGTGGATTATACCTTCTGAAATCTCCATCAGTTGACTTGCATCACACTCCTCTAGCTTATTTCATTAATTCTACTATCAATAAATCCTTAGAACAATCTACCAAATGTAGCCTATGGCATATGAGACTTGGACATGCTTCACATGCCAAACTCCTTGGACTCAATAAAAGTTTTCCCTTCATTAAACCTGTGAATAATGATATGCCATGTGATGTATGTTTTTATGCTAAAAAAAAAAGATTACCATTTTCCATCTGTTCTCATGATCTCAATCCACTTTTGATATCTTGCACATGGATATATGAGGTCCTTTGGCTACTCCCTCTATGATGGGCTATAGATACTTCTTAACCATAGTTGATGATAAGTGTAGATTTACATGGCTTTTTCTTATAAAGTTAAAATATGAAACAACATATCTCATTAAGTCCTTTATAGCCATGATCAAAACTTAATTTAATTGCCAAGTCGAGTGCATTAGATCAGATAATTGCAATGGATTCTTACTTGCAGATTTCTATAAGAAATTTGGGATTATACATAAGACATCATGTGTTGGTACCCCTCAACAAAATGGAATTATTGAGAGGAAACACCAACATATCTTAGGCATCACTAGAGCTCTCCTATTTCAAGCTCATTTACCTCCCATTTTTAGGCACATCATGTTAGCTATGTTGTGCATATCATAAACAGACTGCCTACACTCTTCTTACAACACAAGCCTCTTTATCAAGTCTTATATCTCAAACTTCTTGACCTGTCCAATCTAAGAGTTTTGGTTCTTTATGCTATGCATCAACTCTTAAAGCCAATAGAAAAAAGTTGGATTCAAGATCCAAAAAGTGTATACACTTAGGTTACAAGCCTGGTGTCAAAGGACATATACTATTTGACTTACATTGCAAGGAACTGTTTTTGTCTAGAGATGTTACTTTCTTTGAGACACACTTTCCTTACAGCAAAATCACTTCCTCAAATCACCATACCACATCACCTAACACTTTAGCTACATCTGAACAATTAGATGAATTCTTTGATCAACATTTCTTGTTAGAGCCAACCAACCCCTCTTCCTTCAACACTGTTCCAACATCTAGTTCCATACCTTCCCAACATGACAAGATCTCGGATGACTCATCCCTTATCCCTAATTATATCCAAACCCAACCTATAATTGATCTGATTCCCACTAATTTAAACAATGTCAGCATTCCTATCAGGAAATCCTCCAAAAATGAACACCCTCCATCTTACCTTAAAGACTACCATAGCAATCTTCTTTCAGGTACAATCACCAATCCAGATTCAGCTGCTTCCACTTCATCTTTTTCCTGTTAGTACCCTCTTTCTTCAGTTCTTACATATGATTTCTTGTCTCCCACTCATAAAAAATTTACTTTAAATTTATCCTCCATTCATAAACCTCAAACTTATAAGACTGTCATATGCGATGCCAATTGGAGAAATGCCATCAATTTTGAGTTGACTACTTTGGTTAAAAACAATACATGGGATCTTGTTCCTTTACCTGCACAGAAGAAAGCAATAGGGTGCAAATGGGTATTTAAGGTGAAGATGCATACAAATGGGATTGTTGAAAGATACAAAGCCCGCCTTGTTGCAAATGGATTCACTCAAGCTGAAGGATTGAATTACACAGACATTTTTAGTCCAGTGGTGAAGATGACAACCATTTGAGTGCTTCTAGCCATTGCAGCAGTTCACAACTGGCCTCTTTTTCAGCTTGATGTAAATACAATATTCTTTCATGGTGGTTGTTGTACCCCAAATTTTGATCTAAGATACCATCTCCCATCTGCATCATTACATTGCAAGTGTTTTGACCTATCTTTATCAATTTTTCAAAGCCATTTTTAAATTCATAACTTTTTCAAGTCAAGAGCTGTTTATTTTTGAAACGCTAAATTTATTAATTGATCAATGCTAAAACAATGTTTATTTAATTATTTATTATTCTGAATTTAAATAATTGGAATTTATTTTCAATTATTATATAATTTAAAGAATTATAAATAATAAAGTAAATATTTGAAAAGAAGTTTATTAATTGATCAAACAATGTTTATTTAATTATTTATCATTCTAAGTTTAAATAGTTGAAATTTTATTTTCAGTTATTATAATTTAGAAGAATTATAAATAATGAAATAATTAATTGAAGAGAAGTTAATTGATCAATGATGTTTATTTAATTATTTATCATTCTAAATTTAAATAATTGGAATTGATTTTCAGTTATTATATAATTTAAAGAATTATAAATGATAAAATAAATAATTGGAAAGAAGAAAAGAATTAACTGGTAAATGATAGAATTTTATTCATCTTTATTCTAATTATTACAATTGTTGTTTAAATACTGTATTATGTACAAAGTATTTACAATGACAATTATATAAAATGTTTAAAGTAAAATAAAAACTATTTTAATTTTTCTAAGATTCTAAATCTTCATCTTCTATCCAATACTTCTTTAATGCTCATTTGATTTTACCTGCAAAGAATTAAAAGAAAAAGTCAGAAATGAATATATAATTAAAAGCAGAAATTAATTTAGCGTTCATCATTAAAAGCAAACGGCTGGAATCAGTTTTTACCCTCTTTGCAAATCACGGGATTTCTCCCGGTTCACAAAAAGGGATGAATTTTATTGATAAATATGAATGCACAAGTTAAAATATGCACAAATTCACTTTTGTCAAAATTGCACATTTTAATTGTAAACTGCATAATTCAAAATCCACTGCATATTTCAAAAGCAAAACAGCATATGCAATTTTCAACACAAGTCCAACGTAAACTATCCAAAATGTGGGAAGAAGTCAAAACACAAGGCTCCATGCTGTACAATGCAGTTGACAAAGAGAACATGTGCAGTTTTAAAACCAAATATGCAAGCAATATATTCCTATTTTACATCATTTTCCAGCTTTGCTTTTTCAGAACTTAAAAGTACATAACATCATTTTAATGTCAAACTGTACTAAGGAGAGAGAAGAGAGAAAGAGTGTGGGTTTACAGGTTTTGGCCTTAGGCTGAAAAAGGAATAGAAAACAAAAACAGCAGTAACACAGTAAAGAGAAGGAAGCATAGAAAAAGAATATAGACAAACTGAATAAAACAGTAGAGAGGGCAGAGATATCAAAGAAAAATGGTTAAAATACTCAAAAACTGAATCATCCAAAGCCAAGTAAACCTCAAGGCCAACTAACTGTTATAACAACAAAAAACCCCTTCAAAAAAAAGAGAGAGTTGACAACCTGTTTTTTCAAGCCTTCAAAAAACAAAACTGTCAAAAACAAATACAAGAAGCCAATTCTCAAGGTCAAAACAAAAACCTCAAGAACCTGCTATCTTAAAACCAAAACCATGGCCTAAAAAATCAGTTAAACACAAAACTGTCCAGCCTAACCAGAAAACCAGAAAAGCCTCAACCAATATGGCCTAAACCATAAAACCTGTGAACCTTGTCAAAGCCTAATAACCTGCACAAACCTGAAACCATAAAACCATGGCCTAAAAACCAGTATACCCTGTTAAACCATGAAAACCATGATCAACAACATAAACCATAAAACCTGTCCAACCAGTTTTCAAGTTCAAGACAATAAACCAGTAAAGCCATCACCAAAAACTTTAAACCTGTCAAGCCAAAAATCGTGTAACCATGGCCTGAAAAAAACAGTAAACTCAAAAGACCAAACCCGTTGAAACAAAAACCAGGCCAAACCTGAAGCAAACCCAGCCAAAAACATCATCAACCTTAAACCACTGTCAATCCAACCAAAGCCAAAAAACCAGAATACCAAATAACACAACTCATCAAACCAATGTCAAGCATCAAGCCTCAGAGTTGTTCTATCATAGGCCAATAAAAAAAAGGCAACAGTCAAGCATCAAGCCCACAGAAGAAGAAGGAAAAGAAGCGTGTATAAGCAAAGCAAGGCAGGGTCAACAGAAGAAGAAGAAATATCACATAGAGGTTTTCAACATCATCATCAAACCACAAATCAAAGAAATAAGAACGAAATACCAGGGTCAAAGCAAGCTAGCGCGCCTCCGCCGTCTTCCCCGCCGTCTTGGCCGCCACAGCACCCCCAACCTTTCTTCCTCCGTCTCCAAAGGTAACGATTTCTCCCTCTCTTTATTTCAAATACCTCAAATAACCATAATAATTTGAAGTCATAATCAATGGATGAAAGATCATAACATGCAGTAATAAAAACCCTAACGAATTAAAAAATGAAAATTGTTACCGTGAATCTGTCGCCCTAGCGTCTCGTTGGAGGGTAGAAGAAGGTTGAGAACGCCGGTGGCCATGGGCAAGAGAGTTCAGAAGCGAGCATGAGAGTAGCGAAGAAGGCAAAGACGAAGTGAACGATGAACAAGCGACGCCTCTGTCAAAACCTTAACCCTTTTTTTCCCTAAACTAAACAAATGTGTTTAAACCCTAAACATTGTGGAAATTGGACCTTACCCGTTTCCTGCCTAAAGCCCAAGCGATTTCTTATAACACCCCCCCTATTTCTGTTGTTTTCTGATTAGGCCCCTTGGAACCCCTTTGGCCCATGTGATTTGTTTATATTTTACCTCCTTTGATTCTTAATACATCTATTTCTATTTGTTTTCTTTAACCCTTTTTTTTTTGAAATTTTATTAATTTAGTTTAATCATAAAACTTAATCAAATAGAGGTAATTTAATTAAATAAATTTTGAATAATGTGACCAATTTTTATTAAGTTTAACTTTAGGATTAATTTAATAATTTTAGTATTCCTTTTTTTAATTAGATTTAAGTTAATAGCTTTTAAGGTTTTAATTTAGTTTAGAATTATTTAATAATTCTTAAAAATAATACTTTTATTAATATTAAAAAACATATAAAAATAAAAGCTTTAAAAACATTTTATTTTACTTAATTAATTCTCTTGCGTTATACCTATTAAACAAAAATACAAAAATGCATGTTCGCACCATTTAGTATGTTTATTCAATCATTGTTATGGTTGTATATCATTATCTGCTTAAATTGTCTGTTTGATTATTCCGTCTTTACATGGTTATTCTGTTTACTTCTTAATCCAAGAGAAAAACGATTAAATTTGTTGACTTCATGTCCTCAAATCCAATCACGCGAATATCTTCATTTCATTAAAACTTAAAATAATTTTTCCCCAAATATTCAATCTTTTTTTCAAAACTTATACCTTTTAAGCCAAAACTTCGCCATTAGGTCGTCGTACCTTCAAAAAACCATCCGTACCCCTTTTCGGCCAAAACAATTTATTTTAATCGAACGAACATTTTAATAAACAGATATTTCAAAAGGTTCCTATAGAGTATTATAGATACATTGGGTGCTAATACCTTCCCATTGTATAACCAACCCCCGAATCATAGATCTTTTTTTCAAAAACGCCTTGTATTTTTATTACTTTTAGAAAGTATTATTTTACATTGCATACTTTAGGGTTTTATTTCGCTCTTTCCCCCTTTTCCCTTGGAAATAATAAAGCGCGGTGGCGACTCTTGCTTTTGTGAGACGAATTAATCAATAATTCGATCTCCGATTTACCCCGCTACATTTTTTATCGCTACAGTGGTTTCCATGAAGAGGTGTATATGAAAGCCACTTCAGGCTTTGAATTACCTCGGCCAAATCTTGTATGCAAGTTGGAAAGATCTCTCTATGGCTTAAAACAGGTGAGAAAATAATGAAATACCAAACTATCTGACACACTTATTGAATCGGACTAAATCAAGTCCAAAGCAGATTATTTTCTCTTTACCAAGAGTTCTCCACAAGGTTCCACTGTCATTCTTGTTCATGTGGATGACCTGGTTCTGGGGGGGGCACTAACCTTCAGGAGATACAACAAATCAAAGTCTTATTGGATAACAAATTCAACATTAAAGATCTAGGAACACTTAAGTATTTCCTAGGTTTTGAAGTGGCTAGAAGTGTATAAGGCATTTCCATTTGCCAAAGGAAGTATGTCCTCGATTTAATCCATGATGTGGGACTTCTTGGTGCAAAAACTTGCCATACCCCAATGCAAACTCATCTTCAACTACATAAAACCTTAGGCACTCCTATCTCTGAACCTACTACATACATACGACTCATTGATCGTTTACTTTATCTCACTCATACCAGACCTGAGATTACTTACGCAATAAGTAAACTCAGCTAGTTCCTTGATACTCAAACAGACAAATACATGCTAGTTGGACTTCACGTCTTAAAGTACCTCAAAAGTAACCTAGGACAAGGCCTCTTGTTCAACTCTTCTTCTTTATTATGTCTCAAAGGTTTCTCAGATTCTGATTGGGGAGTGTGTCCGGATACTCGAAGATCTACATCTGGCATATGTTTTTTTCTTGGTGAATCTCTCATAAGCTGGAAAAGTAAGAAACAAGCAGTGATTTTCATATCATCCTTTGAAACCGAATATCGTGTCCTAGCGCACGTTACATGTGAAGGCATTTGGCTCTTTTCCCTCCTTGCAGATTTTCAAATACTTCATATTACTCCCGTCATTCTTTATTGTGACAACAAATATGCCATGCATATAACTATTAATCATGTATTTCATGAACGAACCAAACACATTGAAATAGATTGTCATGTCGTACGTGAAAAGATCTTAACAAACATCCATCTCATGTCAGTCACTACAAAAAAAATAAGTTGCAGATATCTTCACCAAATCCCTTCATCATGATCCTTTCAATAATCTTGAAATCAATTATATTAAAATTAATTTTACTAAATTCAATTTTATTAAAAATTAAATTATATTCGCCGTCAATTTAAATACACAATTTTTTTCATTTGATTAAAATAATTATCTTTATCAAAAACACCGAACAAAATCAATCATTACACGGTAACGGTCTTGTCTTTAAAAAAACATAACAGTATTGAGAATAACCTTGTTCACTTTTAGGAAGAAAAAAAACGTTATTTTCTAAAATAGGAAATGACGATAAGGCCCATGTTTGACCAAACGAACCCTAACTTGGAGTGAGAATACCCACCTTACCCTCTTCTCTCTCTCCGTTTCTGGTTTCTGCCATTGGATCTCACTCTCTCTTTCAACACCTTCTTCCTCCTCCTCGCATTTTCAGGTAACCAACTGTCTCTCTTTTCTGTATCACTCTTTCATTGCACCCCACTAACTTGTTTTTCATTTTTGTTGAACCCAAATTTCTTCTTATAATATTAAACAAAAGCTTCATGTTTATTCATTTGTTATTGGGTTTTTTGAGCTATTCATTGTTTTGTAAATTTACATGTAATTATTGGAATATTTTGTTGTTTTGTTAATATTTTGCTGTAACATGGCATTTTCACTTTGTATATATATAAATTTCTACCAAGTTACACTCATCAAAATTGAACCTTTTTGGGGATTGGGGGTTGTGATTTTTTCAGGTACTAGTGCCTTCTGATGTGTTATTATATTTTTTTGCAGGTTGCTTTAGTTAGGAACCTTTTAAGCTCTTTTGTAGATATATGCTAGAGAAAATGGTGATGTTGCTAATTTAGTTCAGGTTTGAGTTGTTGAATATTACCGCGTAGAAGTTAAAACCTTGACTGTATGGAGGACTATAATTTTGTTGTCGGTCAAGAATTCCCTGATGTGAAGACATTTCGGAATGCTATTAAAGAAGCTGCTATTGCACAGCATTTTGAGCTTCGTATTATCAAAAGTGACTTGATTCGATACTTTGCTAAATGTGCCTCCGAGGGCTGTCCGTGGCGGATTCGTGCTGTCAAGCTCCCCAATGCCCCGACGTTTACCATAAGAAGTCTTGAAGGGACGCATACTTGTGGAAGAAATGCGCTCAATGGGCATCATCAGGCTTCTGTTGATTGGATTGTGAGTTTTATAGAAGAAAGGTTACGAGATAACATTAATTATAAACCGAAAGATATTTTGCATGACATTCATAAGCAATATGGTATAACGATACCGTATAAGCAAGCTTGGCGTGCTAAGGAACGGGGCCTTGCAGCAATATATGGCTCTTCTGAAGAAGGGTTTTACCTACTTCCTTCGTATTGTGAAGAAATAAGGAAAACGAATCCGGGAAGTGTTGCAGAGGTGTTTACCACTTGTGCAGATAACCGTTTTCAGAGACTTTTTGTTTCCTTTTATGCATCAATTCATGGTTTTGTTAATGGTTGTTTGCCCATTGTTGCTCTTGGTGGAATTCAGCTGAAAAGCAAATACCTTAGCACATTCCTTTCAGCCACTTCTTTTGATGCGGATGGTGGGTTGTTTCCACTTGCTTTCGCCGTTGTTGATGTAGAAAATGATGAAAGCTGGACATGGTTCCTGTCTGAGTTGCATAAGGCACTAGAGGTGAATATTGAATGCATGCTACCGATTATATTTTTATCAGATGGGCATAAGGGTATTGTGGATGCAATAAGAAAGAAGTTTCCAAAATCTTCTCATGCATTCTGCATGCGTTACTTAAGCGAGAGCATCGGCAAAGAGTTCAAGAACTCTAGGCTTATCCATCTTCTATGGAAGGCTGCATATGCTACTACAACAATTGCATTTAGAGAAAAAATGGCTGAAATAGAAGAGCTCTCTCCCGAAGCTGCCAATTGGTTACAGCAATTTCATCCTTCCCAATGGGCTCTAGCATATTCCGAAGGGACTAGATATGGTCATTTGTCCTCTAATATTGAAGAGTTCAATAAATGGATTCTTGAAGCCCGGGAGTTGCCAATTATCCAGGTGATTGAGCGGATTCATAGCAAACTTAAAACCGAGTTTGATGACCGGTGTTTGAAAAGCAGTTCATGGTGTTCTGTACTTGCTCCATCTGCCGAGAGGCGAATGGTCGAAGCCATTAATCATGCATCCACATATCAAGTCCTTAGATCAGACGAGGTAGAGTTTGAGGTTATTTCAGCTGATCGATCTGATATTGTAAATATTGGCAGTCATAGCTGTTCCTGCCGTGATTGGCTGCTATATGGGATACCTTGTTCCCACGCCGTTGCTGCTCTTATCTCATGTCGTAAGGATGTCTACGCATATACTGCAAAGTGTTTTACTGCTGCAAGTTACAGGGATACTTATGCAGAGGTGTTACACCCCATCCCTGAAAAAATTGAATGGAGGAAAACAGATGAATCTTCATTGGATAATGATATCGTAGTTGTGCGGCCGCCAAAATTTCGTCGACCTCCAGGGCGACCGGAAAAGAAACGGATTTGTGTGGAGGACCATAATCGCGACAAACATACAGTGCATTGTAGTCGATGTAATCAAACTGGACATTACAAGACTACATGCAAAGCAGAGATGATTAGTAGTATACAACAGTTTTAGGTGTCTGATTTTGTACTATGTAGTAGTTAAACTAAAGATCTAGTCTCTACTAATTCTATCTAAAGAACTCAAGTTTAGGTCATACATGTTATTAAGACCATGTAAGATATGTATAAATCAGTAATAACTCCGCCGGTGTGATGAAGTTTAGGACATTGGTAAGTTTGTAATCGAAAGCTACTGAAGAGTGTTTGAACTTTTAAGCATGGATTTAGGGAAGTTGAAAAATAATCTTACCGTGCAATGCATGTGTTTAATATCATTATGTAAATTGGAGAATCTTCAATTTATGTGATTCACTAAAGAATATGAACCAAACTTGGTACTTCAAAGTTTATAAAGCTAATACACACTGCACTTCAACCGTTATGCTAAATTTGCAGTTTTTTAGCCAATATTGTATGTCTTGTGCTTAATAAACATGCTTTCATTTTATTTGACAGTTGACAATGAGCATCAATCTGTTTTTGGGTAAGCGTGTTACAAAATATTTGGATAGAAAACACTATTTAAGGTTGCCTTGGTGATTGATTGTATATAGAATATTATAGAAACAAACTACCTCAAGATTCATGAAGTGGAAAGGAACTTAGTGGTGGAAGAAAGAGATGGAAAGAACGAGCATAGCCTTTTCCATAGAAGCATACAAGACATTAAACATCATCTAAAAGATGTGTTGCATTCCAGTTGCATTGCATGATACAATGATAAAACTGAAAATGGCACCAGAGCAAACACTGCTATTCAGTCTCAAGAACATATAGTCTAAATTTTATTCTAAGGAAGATTATTCAAAAATATGCTAAATATCATCATCACTTGTATAGCTCCTTGAATCTTCTGCAGGCCTCCAAGACATTTTCCCTGTGACCAAAAGCACTGACCCTGACAAAACCTTCACCACCAGGTCCAAAACCACTCCCAGGAGTTGTAACTACATGCGTCTTCTCAAGAATCTCACTGAACACATCCCATGAACTTTGGCCTGGGAAGTGGACCCACACATACGGTGCATTTTTCCCTCCATACACTTTAAACCCAAGAGAATCAAATGTCTCCATTATTATGTTGGTATTTTCTTTGTAGTATCCAATTACCCCGCGCATAGCCTGCATTCAAATGCATCAAGCATATTATGTAACTTGTTCATTAAAAAACGCATAATTTAATCAATATTAAACCAAAAGAACCAACCTTAAGGCCTTCTGGTGAAAGGCATGCAAGACCACCAGCCTGAGAAATATTTGATGCACCATTGAAACAAGTAGATACGATACGGTTGAAGTCCTTGGCAACAGGAAATCCATCAGAAAACAGTAATTCTTTTGGAACCACAGACCAACCCAATCGGACTCCGGTGAACCCAGCATACTTGCTAAATGATGAAGTTTCAATGGCAACCTGCAAAAAGCCATAACATGTCAATCAAAATCGTACTTGAAGGAATTCACCAAGCATCAAAAGCAGATTCCTCAGACTAATTATAATGAAAAATTGTCCAACAGTCCCCAGGATGGTAAGTTTGTTTATTCTTTATTATTTCATTGTTTGTTACAAAATTTCCATAGTTGTAAAATAAACATTAACCATCCAAACTATATCTAGAAAAGTATAAATCACATAAGCAAGTTGACAAACTATTTCCAAACTAATAGCACACTCAAATAATAAGAATCGTATCATAGACTGACTACTGACCTCTTTGGCTCCAGGAATTTCAAAGATGGAGCGCGGGTTGTCACCAGACATATACATAGCATATGCTGAATCGTGTATTATTATAGATCCATTGTCCTTAGCATACCGAACTAGTTGGACCAGTTGTTCCCTTGTTGCTGCAGCGCCAGTAGGATTGTTTGGAGAACAGAAAAATATTATATCCGGTCGAGAAATGGAAGATAAATCAGGGAAGAAACCATTTTCTGGACTACACTTCATATATTCAATGTTCGCAAACTTCTGAACATCCTTCTGGTACAAACCAGTCTGGCCCATAATTACACTTGAGTCTACATAGGCCTGCATATAAAAAATCGGTTATTTAAAGAGAAGCTACAATAAACAAAAGGTCATTTAAGTGTTCCTTCGCTTTCCTAATTTTAGGTATTATTCCAACCACATTGATTTCATTTTCTAAAGAATTCAATATAGCTTTGCACAGCTTCAAATAATGTAATTTCTGGGTTTTACACACAATAGGCATGAAGAAACGTAATTGAATGTCCAAGCAAATGATGAAAAGATAATTATAAACAAGGGCATAGATATGAATTACCGGGTATGATGGGTCCTGCACGGCCATTTTCACATTTGAACCAAAGACAATCTGCCACCAAATGAAAAGAAAAAAAAGGAAAAGAAAAAACAATTAGTTACATTGCCCAACTATCGTGCCACTCCATCCCCGTCACCAAAAAGGAGGGTATTGAAATCAAATAACAGTAAGTGGACCGGAGAAGAACACTGTAGGTAGAATAGGTGACTTGAGAAGCACATCATCTATTTTAAAAAATACAAAATGAACCTGGAGACGAGATATATCACACTTTGCTCCATCTGAAACAAATATATCATCATCTTCTATGCCAAGATCAGGGTAAAATGTTGAAGCAATTGCACTTCTTAGTGGCTGCATAGATTAGGAATGTCACTTAATCTTCCAAGCATCGTTAACTTATGTGAAAAGAGGGCAGCAAAAAGCTTAAAAAATATAGGCTTAGACTAAATCAAAATAGCAATTACTATATGTTGCAATATCAATCATTGTCACTAGCAGGAGCTGAATTATGGCAGTCGGAACCCCTCATTGTCTATGAACTATTACATAGACAATGTTTTACAGTTATCCCAATACCTTGGAACAGTGTTATCAAATAGCGGCGCCGTGGCAGCTATGGCGGATGTACATGGTGGGTTTTGAGCTCGCCGCAATGGTAAATATCGGTTGATATTGCGCGTTTTTCCGCAATAACAGCGCCGCAAAGCAGCTGCTATGGCGGGATTTTTGCTCTCCGCCATGGACCGCCATCGACAACACTCCCTTGGAATGTAAAATATATATTTAAGAAAGGAAACCATAAAATGATATAGAAAACTACAAGTGTCATTCCAAAACCACACTAACTTAGGGGAAAAACCCTTCTGTATGACTTAAGAGTAAAGAAAAGCGCTATCAATGCACAATACATGAGAGAGAACAGTAGAGTGTGGATGGAAAGATACATGAATGAAAATATGGACAAAAGATGCAAAACCTCTAAAAGATATCGATATGACATACCTTTTCACCCTGTTCTGCTCCATAACCACTATATCCTTCCAAGGTTGACAATGCAAGTGATTTCTGAATAATTGGAAAAAAAAAAACATTTTTAATTGCCCGGTTAACAAAAGGTGGAACACTAGAATCAAACAATTGAATTAATATAGTATTTTATAGTATATTATTCTTTACACACACCCCTACAAAATATTACATCTTTACTACCAATAAAAGACAGACTTAAACGGAAGCAACTAGACACACGATGTGAGATGACAACACTAAAGCTCTAGGGGGCAAAAAAACAAGGCATCAGAAGCAGTACTATAACAAAATTCACCGATAAAAAAGAGAAACAAAACAGATTATTTTCCACTGTCAAAGTGCAAAAATGAAAGACGCATTAGCTTCACTAACACCAAAGTTCTACCTTTGCCAATGCAGAACTTATGACTTCAGGAATGGGTTCAGTAGTATCACCAATCCCAAGGCTTATTATTTTTGCATCGGGGTACTTCAGTAAGTGTGCAGACTTTCTTCTACCAATCTATTTTTATGCAATAAAATGGAAAAACAAAACAAGGTCAGTGAAGAGGAAGGAAGATCTTATTAACCAGGGAATGATTTTTTAACAGATAAATGAAGAGAAAACCCAAAAGCAGATATATCAAGCAACATTACATACCTCAGGAAAGAGATAACCAGCTTGAAGTTTACCCAAGTTTTCATTGCGAGAGACCCTTGTCTTGTAGGCTTCAAAACAAAAAAGGGAATTAAAAAAATGTAAACTTTCAACACACAATCAAATATATACTCAAGAAGGGTACCAACCAGTCTCAACTTCTTGGGGTGTAGCGATGCATTTACAAATGCTGGGGCTCTTAGCTTGCAAAGATACCTGACTCCTGCAGTAACAAGAAAACATCACCCCCAACAAATCAACATACGAAATTTCAGAAAAAAGATACAATTTTGCAATAATAGAGTTAAAAAAAAGCATCAAATTTTAACGAGATAGAAAGAGAGGGTTAAGAGAAATGAGATGAGGTTGAAGAAAAAGTACCTTGAATTGAAATTGGAAGGAGCTAAGAAAGCAGAGGAAGAAGACGAGATTGAGAGGGTGAGGTTTTGGGTTATAGACATGTTGGATGGGAAAAGAGGAGAGTGTAGTTTGGAGAAGATTCAAAGCAGCTATAAGTATAAACCCTATAAAGACAGAGACAACCCTTTGATATTTAATATTAACCCCTTTGTAATATAATATAATGTTGTTACAATTTACATACTCCCTCAATTCTCTTTTATAAGAAAATTTTGACTTTTTAGATTCATTAATTAAATGATGTCTTTAGACAATATATTGATTAGATACATCAATTATTCAATGAACCTAAATTTTTTTAATAGGAATGGAGGGAGTACATAAGATACCGCAAGCAATGTTTATATAAAGCTTAATGGTCTTTATCTATTATTTATTATAAATATATAAAAATTAAAGTATCTGAAAAAGAATATTTTATCTTTCTGAAATCAAGTGCAAACTTTTTCTTATTCAATGTGTAAATATGGTTTTTTATACCACTGCTAACACCATATTGTTTTGGTAATTAATGTCGTTTATGTGTCATCATTAAACTTTTTAATACATTATTTTATTTTTTTAATCACTTAATCACACTATTTTTCTTTGAACGAACGTCAACCCTTCCAATACCTACTTTCATCTATAAAACATGCAGACTATCTCATTCCCTCTACACTGCATCTGAAAACTCTTTCCTTTCTATTCGACAAATTTTCAAAGTTATCGCATGGTCTGCTTCTCCCTTCGTCTTTCTTCAGATTCCCCTCAAACCAAAACACAATCAACATGAACCCCATCTTTTTCTCACTCTCATTACGTTGCTGTTTATATTCATGTTGTTGTTGCTGTTTATATTCATGTTGTTGTTGCTCTTCATTTTTATTCATGTTTTTTTGTTGCAAATTGATATCAAATATTTTTTCTCATCTTATGTATATTCAATTTTTTTTTTAAGTTTTCAGTCTGTTTATGAGTTATTCTTTTTTTGTTGTTAGATATACAGTATTTGAATTTGTTATTTTTATTAAGGTTACATATATTAGGGAAGAATGATAAGCATACTCAATCCACAAAATAAATATTTTGCACAACTTTATGATTCATTCATCTTTTTATGTATTTCGTATTACAAAACATCCAAAGAAGAAAGACAAAAGTGTTGGTGCAAGGTAATGAAGTGGGAGAAGAATAATGAACAAAAATGATAACAAGACTACTGTTGTATTATAAAATAGAGGAGATAGAATTGGATACAATATTGATAGCTAGAATAACATATTTATACTAAAAATTGAAAATGCCAAAAGACCCTATTAAAGAATAAGCATTGGGAATTGTAGTCATTAACTAAATTATATTTTCAATACCATCTCTTAATTTAGATATTCTATCAGAAGCTAACAACACCAGTTTCATCTCTCAAACGAAGAAATTAATCTGTTTTAACTGCCTTCGTCAGAATATCTGCTAGCTGTTTCTGAGTGCTGCAGTGCAGAACTTCTAACACTCCTTTCTGCACTGAACTTCTAAGGAAATGATACTTCGTATCAATGTGCTTGCTTCTTTCATGTAGAACTGGATTCTTGGCAAGATCAATTGCAGACTTATTATCAATCATCAGCTTCAGAGATTCCTCAACTTCAACCTTCAGATCATGCAGGAGATTCAGAAGGCAAACAGCTTGACAAGCAGCTATATCACCTGCGATATACTCAGCTTCACATGTTGACAGAGCCACGACAGACTGTTTCTTGGAACTCCAGAAAATGAGACCTCCCAGAAATTTAAACAGGTATCCAGAAGTACTTCTCCTGTCCACTCTGTCTCCACACCAGTCAGAATCAGAATAACTTATCAATTCTAATTTTGTCTTACTTTCAGAAGGAAACAACACTCCATATTTCAGGGTTCCTTTGATATATCTCAGAATTCTGACAGCAGCTTGGAAATGAGACCACTTTAAATTACTCATGAATCTGCTAACCAATCCAACTGCATAACAAATGCCAGGTCTAGTATTGCATAAATACCTTAGAGAACCAACCAATTGTTTAAAGGTTGTAGAATCAACATAATCATCATCAGAGTCAGAATCCAATTTTTGATTGGTTTCTGATGGTGTTACAGCAACTTTGCAATTCTGCAGCTTAAATCTCTTTAGAAGTTCTAGTTCTTATTTCAACTGATGCAGAATGATACCCTTCTTCGAGTATAGAATCTCCATCCCTAGGAAACATGTCATTTTTCTTAGATCTGTCATCTCGAAGTCATTCATCAGAACTTCTTTGAACTTCTTTATATCTTCTGGACAACTACCTGTTAGCAAAATATCATCAACATAGAGACACACCCGAATCATATGGTTATCAAAGTGTTGCACATAAACTCCATATTCTATCTCACATTTCTGAAACTTCTGCTTCTTGAAAAACGAATCAATTTTCAGATTCCAAGCTCTGGGCGCTTGCTTTAGTCCATACAGAGCTTTATTCAACCTGTATACCATTCCTTCCTGATTCTGTCTCACAAATCTAGGAGGTTGTGACACATAAACTTCTTCCTGTAATGGACCGTTCAGAAATGTAGACTTTACATCCAGATGCATTAAAGGCCAATTTCTATTTGCAGCTAAAGTAATCACCAGTCTGATTGTTTCATGCCTAGATACATGCCCAAACACCTCAAAGTAATCTAGTCCAGGTTTCTGAAGAAAACCTCTAGCTACTAGTCTAGCTTTGTGCTTGCCAATTGAACCACGTGGCTTAAGTTTCAACTTGAAAACCCATCTGACGCTGATGGCTTTTTCCTTATCTGGAAGTTTAGTCAATTTCCATGTTTTGTTCCTTTCTATCGCCTCAAGTTCTTCTTTCATGGCATTCAGCCATTCTTTCTTCTTGAGAGCTTCTTCAATGCCCACTGGTTCAGAATCTACTAACATGGCACACTGAACGACTTCTCCTTCAGAGTCAACTTCATTATCCTGAATCATGTCAAAATTTGCAAACCTGCTTGGTTTTTGTCTAATTCTCTGTGGTCTATGAGTTTATTCTGAAGTTGCACCAGAACTACTACCTTCCGAGTTACCACCTTCAGTGTTTTCCCTTCCAGAACTATGATCACCACCAGATTCTGGATCATCATCAGTATCTGGATCAGAATCAGATCCATTGTCAGAATCTTCTTCTGACTCATCTTTAGGATCTTCAGAATCAGATTCATCTTCTGAACTTTCTAAAACATCTTTAGAGGCTAACTCTAGTGTTGGCACCACACAAGAATTTGATTGAGACTTGTTCCAATCCCATGTTTCAGACTCTTTTACCACAACGTCTCTGCTGACTTCAACTTTATTAGCTTCTGGATAATAAAGCTTATATGCGCCTGTACTGTGATACCCCACCAGCAACATTACTTTGCTTCTATCATCCAATTTTTATCTTCTAGCTTCTGGAACATGTTTGTAACAGACAAAGCCAAACACCTTCAGATGACTGACACTCTGCTTATCTCTAGTCCATTTTTCTAAAGGAACAACTTCCTTCAGCTTCTTTGTTGGACACCTATTCAGAATATATGCTGATGTGGCAACAACTTCTCCCTATAACACGCGAGGTAGTTTTTTTTCTTTCAGCATGCTTCTGGTCATGTCAAGCAAAGTTCTGTTTCTTCTTTCAGCAAGATCGTTGTGCTGAGAAGTATATGGAGTAGTAACCTCATGTTCTATTCCACTCTCCTCACAGAACTTCTGAAACTTTGTAGAGTTATACCCACCTCCACCATTGGTTCTCAGAATCTTCAACTTCTGACCACACTGCTTCTCAGTCTTCACTTTGAACTTCTGAAACTCAGTAAACACTTCATGCTTGAACTTGATGAGTGTTATCCATGTCATTTTTGTGAACTCATCCATGAAAGACACAAAATATTTATTTCCTCCAAGTGAAGGTACTGGAAATGGTCCACACACATCAAAATGTACTACTCCCAAAGCATTCTTCGCTCTAGGGGCTACTTCTGATGCAAATGGAAATCTGGTTTGTTTTCCTTTCATGCACATCTGTTTCCAGTGATTTCTGGTAAACAACCGCTAGTCTTTCAAACTATCGAATAAACTTACTGACTGTTATTCAATTTCTCTGGTAACTCACAGGATCGACTAGATTGATCCTAGGATTCCTTGGTCATTAGGGTAACTCTCATGATCGAACAGATATTCATGGTTGGTATTTGAGTGTTGTATAGGTGTTTGGCTTATTTCGATTTCTCTCTTAAAGATCTAAAGGTGTAATCAAAATACATGTGCACGAAACTAAATTGCATGAATAAATGTTAATTGTAAAGACATGTAAAATTGCATAAAAAGCAAGTAAATGGCTTCGAATTATAAAAACAGTTAATGTAAAAGATGCTCTGGAACGTAAAAGATTCGAAATATGAAGAAAGCGTTTAATGCAAGAAATCTGTAGAATGACGTTAAGTAAAAATAGGCGTTCGAAGGATAAAACTTGAAGATAAAGGCATGAAAAGTATGACAGTTTTCTGAAATGTAAAGTGTTTGAAATGTAAAGAAAGCATTAAAATGTAAGGCTTTAATGAAAAGATTTCGAATAAAAGACTTTAAATGAGAAAACTTGTAAATGGTATTTGACAAGAAGATAAAGGAAAGTGCTGGAAATGATAAAAGGTTTTCATTAAATCATAAACATGTGGTGCTATCATACGTACATTGCTCTTGCACTCGTTTCCCTTGCCGTGTGGTAATTTGAATGTTACTGAGTATTTAGTACAATAGATATGACACACGAAATCCTAACACTAAGACTTCTATTTATACTAATTCGACCATAACGGTCTTGCTATAGGATTATGCCACGTTCAGAACATGCAGAACAATGCCTCTCTCTTGTTTCCACGTGTCTCCAAATGCTCCAGCACATAAATTTCAAACTTCGAATGTCCCGCTTCCATTTGAATTTCAAATGCTTTGGTATTTCTCCGCTTCGAATGCACTTCTCAGACACAACCTTGTTGTCATTTCGAGACTTCTTTAGATATG